TACAGCTATTGGCTTGGGCAAAGAGGAGACATCGACTGTGACCAATAACGATAACGCGACACGAAATATCGAGTCAGGACTACTTCGCTGTATCTCTCGACTTGTCGGTACTGCCAAGATGATTACAGAGAATGGTACTACAGAGGAGAGAATCATGGAGACCGAACCACAGGCGGTGGACATGATGTTTGTACGAAGTCTATGTGAGATAGTGAGGTTGTGCGAGGAAGTATCATGTCCCCAGATGAACTAAGCTATCATGCTGGTTTGGGACTCTTGGGCTTTGAGTTTGTTCTGTATGTCTGTATTCTAAAAGCGTGTACTGGGATCAGGTTTGGTGGCCATATACCCTGATTGATAGGTTGGGGCTTTTCCTTGACCTTTGATGAAGTCGATAATAGACATACCGCATCACTTTCTTGTCTCCTATCATTTACTGTGTGACGTATTAATTATTCCATTTGCCTCCACCAACATGACACAGCAAACCTCAACGTTGCCCCGAGTCCATGGATCCGTCTCTCCCAACTCCAAGGTATCAGAACAACAAAGAATGACTCTCGTTTAGATTTCCCCGAGTAGCTAAGGAGGACCCCTGATCGACAATCATGAGTTTATCCTAAACTTGTATTCATTTGAAGCGATGGCGTCTAAGTCTGATCGGCGACTTTGGCTCCCGCCCGCTACTAGTACCATCACGGATGTGTTTGCGAAAAGGCGCCTTTGTTTTATCCCCAAAAGGGAAGGGAAATGGTCATTTTCATATAGGGCTGCTTACACCTGATCTCCTTGATTTGTAATGCTGCGTATACCAAAAGGGCTGATACACCTCATGATTCAAGGCCACGAAGCTAAGCAAGAGGGATTCTTATTGTCGATAAGGCTTAACTTTATGCCACCTTTTCTTATCCTCGTGTTATTTCCAGTGGTTCCCTTCCATCTTTGAATAGCTCCTCGTGCCAAGGGACCCCGTGTCCTGGCTTCTGACACAAGGCGTCCCAATCCACAGCCGCAAAGTTTGGCTCCAGGGGGCTAAATACGCGCGCTTTCTTAGACTCTTTGTCTTCCTTGGGTGCGGTGTACATGATTTTGCCTCCTTCGATTTCTGCGATCGGTGATGAGGCTGAGGGCTGAAGACGCTGCGTGATGAGATGTCGTAGTTGAGTGTGATACCACATTTTGTCCCACCAGTTTTTTAGTCTGGAACTCTTCAGCCCGTCGATGTAAGCGTTGTGGTGGATTGCTATGGGTGTAGTGCCAAAGAAAAAGTCTGTGTACAGTGGGATGGAGCCCCAGTTTGTAGAGGACAGGAGAGTGTCGTTGATGTTGCGTATCTCGGGGGGTATACCGTTTATGCGGATGGGACCTGGGACACCTGTCTTTTTAGACTCTTCGATGATATTAGTCTTGTTGAGAAGATGTACAAAGTAACCGTCTTCTTCAGATGAACATGTTGGTGGTGCTGTGGTGAAGTTGTAGTCCAAGCCGATGCCGAATTCGAAGCGCTGGCCAGAAAGTGCTGCGTCGGCAATCTTGCGGACATCGTGGGAGAGTGTATCTCTGTTGTCGGGAGATACAGAGTCGTTCCATGATGCTCCGAGTTGTCTCATCCATTCGCGCCATATCTCTTGGTCACCGATGACTTCACCAATAAGAGCTTGGTCACTCCAAAGTTGCCGACCCTTCATAGCTACGACATCGATCTTCTCTTTGGATCTTTGCAGCGCGTCTCGTAGACCACCCATAGAGCCCATGATAAGACCACTGTTGACACATCTTGGACGGACTTTCTTGTATTTGCGCGCTGGATCAAACGACCAGGGAACCTCGTCAGTGCCGTCTCCATACATATCTTTCGGCATAGGAGAATCAGGCCAATGTTCGTATCGAGGATCAGAGCCGGAGTAAGCATCTGGAAAGCAGTCTTTTGCCGTAGTGATGATTATATCCTGCCGAGGTGGCGGTATAGGAAAGTTAGCGCTAATGTTGAGATCTGCCCATTGTTTTTGTACTCTGGCATCTGCTTCGCGATTGAGCTGATGATAGCGCTCTAGTAGAACAGAAGGAGGGAGCTGGAACCACATATCATAGGCGTCTACCAGTACTGCAATGTCGTCGTCGCTCACATCGTCATCGTCAGTTTGGTCGAGGAGTACTTGTATGGCTGCTAGTAGACTCTCGAGCTTAGCGATGTGACTGCCTGCAAAGTGCCATGTAGGTCGGTTGTATTCGCGCTTCCAGTTGAGCAGGATAGGCATTGGATAACCCATTGCGACGGCAGACATTATAGTTTTGCAGAGGTTGATGTGTGGTGAGTCGGCGGGCATGAAGAGTCGTAGACGACGAGTAGAGCTTGGCTTAGAAGTCTTTTGAGGAATTGCAAGACTTGTTAGGTCTTCTTTGGAGATAAATGATCCATGATTAGGGTTAGAAGAGAAATGATTAAGTGGTTGATCAAACTGGATGCTTGTTAGTTGAGTAGACAGGTAGGTGTATGGTTGTTTGAGTTACCAATCCTATAAAAGTCACCCATGAGATGAGTATAAATGTTGTAGTTATAATAACCCATTTGAAGTTCTTCACAGATCGAGGTATAAAAGATGATAGTACTGGTCTTGCCGATTGGGCAGATGGAAACGATGCATCTTCAGGGTCTGCGCTGGGAACTCTTCTCATCCTGGAGTATGAAGGGTTTGATAGTGAAGAGGAGGAAGACATTTACAAAAACAACAGCAACATTTCAGAGAAGAGTCAGTCATGTTAAAGAGGAAATGCGTTGAATTTGACCACATGATGAAGAACAATCACCATCACCATCAACTAATTAATTTAGTTATCATGATTGATCTTCATCATAGTTATAAGAAGAATATTGGACCATCAATCACATTAGGCTAGCGGCCATTAATACGCTACAGCCAATCATTTAGCACCGTGGTCTAACAAAACAACCCCACGTGTAAATATATCGTGACTTTACAGGTTATTCGTCACTATCCAATACAGGACTTTGCTGAAAGCTGGTGATGAATTGATTCGTAAAGAGGACAACTAATTACCTATTATCGGGTATTTTTATGTCATTTCGATCAACAAGTACCGAAGTAGTTACATGGGTACGGGTAAATTTGCCGAAAAGATGGGCTGTGTCAAGAAATATCCACGGGCCATTTAACTAGACGTTCTAGAACTCGTATTGCTTACGTTTCTTATAATAATAGATTTCGTACCTTTTGAATCACTTCTCCTTTACTTCTCTTTTCTCTTTCTTCGCTTCATTCCGGGCTGGAATTGAGGAGGAATGAAATACACCATGGACTCTTCTAAAGGTGCTAGACACTTGAGTGTCACGATGCAAACATATCTCGGTTTCGCAGTCCTTGGTACATGACTCAATCTCTCACCACCACTCACTAATAACTAACCAATTCTCAGGCCTTGTTAACGCAATTGTACCATTTATTGTACATTCTGCAAACTACCTCATCATTCCTTATCCACGTTGGATAGTCATCCTCATCGAGACTCTCCCAGCTCTTCTCACAAAACTACTTCTGCCTCACTTTATCCACAGAATCCCTTACTGGATGCGCCCTCTCAGCATAGGAGCAGTATGGATAATCATCGCCCTCATCACAAAATCAACACCACCAAACATCGCACCTCCAGTGAGAATATTCACTTCCGCGCTTGCTTCAGCGTCGGCTGCAGCAATGGAGCTTTCTTTCCTAGGAATGCTGCGCTACTACAACCGTCTTGGACTCGCAGGTTGGGGAGCAGGTGTGGGCGCAGGAGCAGTCTTTTGCGCCGTCTTGCCTTTTGTGTTGACCGTTTGGCTTGAGTCTTTTCTACGCGATTTTATCGATTGCATTTATGTGCTTGTTGGTGCGATGCTCGTGGCATTCTTTGTTGTTCTTCCAGGGGCACCGGTCAACTATCCACATGCGCGACAGGAATTGGCCAAGGATGATATTGAGGATGCGTCGCCTTTACTTCAGGATCCTGTTCAGCAACTCTCGCGACTATTGAGTACGAAAAACCGTATTCATCTTATAAAAAGCATAACTCGACCTTTTATGATTCCCTTATTTGGGGCATTTGCGGCACAGGCTCTCGTATACCCTGGTCTTTCACGAGCCTTGCCTCTTCCAGGGTCCTCGGCATCTTTCTTCTCGTATTTAACCACCTACGGCCTCTCTTTCCAATTAGGCAATTTTATCTCTCGGACACACGTTTTACTTTTCCGACCAGCCAATCTCAAAGCTTCTTTCACGATACTCGGGACAGCGACACTCATTCTACTCGCAAACTCCATCTTTCTTGTCTCCTCGGCAGAAGTTATGATGGGTATACTAGCTTTCACGGCTGGTCTAGGTGGAGGCGCAGTCTACATGATTGTTTTTGACAAAGTGCTTGAAGAAAAGACGCTCGATACTGGGATCAATCAGGAGTTTTGTCTTCAGGTTGTAGGAGTCGGTGAGACTGCTGGTCTTGTCGCTGGTGGAATACTAGGTACCATGCTTGAGAGTTTGATGTGTCGAGGAGTATTTACAACGACACAACGATGGTGTCATACAAGTCAATGAGAAGTAAAGAGGTGGTTTATAGTTAGTTAGATACCAAAGCTCATGATAAGATGAATAGCAACAATTGATTAAGCTACAACGTAGTAATGATATGAACTGAACTCATATGTTCTTAGCCGCTGATATACAACATGAACTACTGAAATGTTATAAGATGTAAGAAATCGTGTTGTTCCCGGTTGATACTGGCTATGGCTAAACCTCATTCGTCAGTCTCTTACTTATTTATATCCGCCAAGAACTAACCCGTAAGCACAGCCACAACACGCATTGCCTATTCCATACATCTCAATTGTTCATAGTTATTCTCAGAGTTGTCTTGACGACTTGTGACTCCGTGTAGTCTCATAGAAATCTCATAAAACAGCATCACTATCGCTCAAGTGCACAGAACCCCCCATCTATATACCCAACATGATGAAACGAAAACCTCACAGCAAATCCCGTCACGGCTGTCGAAACTGCAAAAAGCGCCATGTAAAAGTACATCTCACAGCCCCTCCATACTTCCTTCACAAGAAACTCACGTATACAAACTCAGTGCGATGAACAAGGCCCTCCTTGCACAAACTGTCTAGCCCGCAACCTAGAAGGTTGCTCTTATCTCACCGACCCTCCAACTCAACTCCCAGCAACAGAAACCCGGCGAAGAATAGAGCTGGAACTCATGCACCGCTGGTCATCTTCAACATACAAAAGCCTCGCCAGTATCCCAGAAGACAACCAATGGCTCCAGGAGGACATGCCGCGCTGGGCTCTCAAACATGAGTATCTCCTACAGGGCATGTTTGCCTTTTCTGCTCTAGAGATAGTTCTCTGCGGCGGCGCTGTCGTTGTGGAAGAAGATCATGAGATGTACTATGCTAAACTGGCCGTTGAATACTACGATAAAGCAAGTCGTTCGTTTAGAGCGCAGCTTGAGAATGTTACGGCTGAGAATGCGCAAAAGGTGTTTATGTTTTCGTTCCTGGCTGTTTCTGTCAATATGGCTCTTGGACAGTGTACTGCCTTTGAAGATGTTTACGAGGGTGTACTTGATCGCTTGGTGACGTTGTGGGAGTTACTCATGGGCAACGCTTCCATTGCCGATCAACATTTCGACGCTCTCATTTCAGGTGCTTTGTCAAAGTCTACAGAGGCGGTGATGATAAGAACACAGCTACAAACCGAAACACCTACATCCTTACGCAAAGAAACAGAAGACGCATTAGAACGTCTCTCTATAATTGTCAACAAAGCCTGTGAAACATCACCCAGCTCCGAAAATGCCGATCAGTCAGAGACCAATGTACGCATCCAGTCTTACCGCGCCAGCCTCTCCGCTATACAAACATGTTTTGTAGAAGACTCCAAAGAAATCTACAAGGGTGTAGCAATAGGCTTTCCTGCTCTTGCTGGGAGAGACTTTGGACTTGCGCTTAAGAGTTCGGATCCTGTGGCCTTGCTAATAACCATGTACTGGGGAGTACAGCTCAATACTTTGGGCAAGCTGGCTTGGTGGGTTGGTACGTTTGGTAAGAAGATGGTAGATGAGGTATCAGAGATGTTATGGGAACCTGAACCGGGTCATCAAATTATGAGTTTACCGGAGTGGAGAGATAGTATATCCTGGGCGAGGACGGAGGTTGACTTGACGCCTTTGGTCGAGACTCCATCAAGATCATGATTGTCTGACGTGCTGTATTAGTATCTAGAGTCGCCACTTCGTTGTCCATTTTGATGGATATGTATACTCTCTCAATTCAATGCATTTGTCGTCATTCGTTGGATGATTGGCTTTAAAACTCGCCAGGATCACAAAAGAGTTCCTATGAATTGTGCATCTCTGGGTGGCGTTGTTTAACTTAATTCTTATTGTTCATGACGATCGAGAGTATCCTGAAATAACTCAGTCGTAGGCGGTAGACGCCTTGGTATCTTGGTCTATTTGTTTTCCTTTACGCCTTGCCCCATCGCGAGGTTTCGTCGCCCTCCTTCCACTCACGCTCAACATATCCAAGCTCTTTCTTGACCATCTCAACGGTCTCCTTATCACCAGTGTTCTTTCCAGCGTTGTCACTACTTTATGTTAGTTCATGCTTTCACCACTCCTGATCACATATGACTCACCTAATCTTAACAGCTGGGCGGCCCGCCGCCGAGCTGATCTTGATAACAATGTTCAAAGGTACTGACTTCTTGCCAGTCTTGGTGTTTGTAAAGTCGTTGGTAAGGTATGTTCCAACACCGAATGTGGGTTGGAAACCAAGGTCGTCGGCACTCTTCTTGTACTCCAAGCATCTTTCGATGTTGAGAGAGTCAGAGAAGACGATGACCTTCTTGTCTGTGATACCCTGCTTGTCGTAAAACTCTCGCATCCACTTGGTGTACTCAGCAGGATCACCGGAATCTTGTCGAATACCAGTAAAGGTTTCGGCATATGTCTTCATGCTTCCGTCGGCCTTCTTAAAAGTCTCTGCTGGAAATCCACCTTCAATGGTTTGCACGGTCTGTGTAAAGGCGCGAAGGAACTCCTGGGTGCCAAACGTATCGGTCAAAGCGATAGCGAGCTTGTTTCCGAAGCAGGCAACCCAGTGTTGTAGAGCAACTTCGGTGGCTTGCTTGTAGTCGCCAATGATAGCAGCAACACCCATGAACCACTCGTGAGCGACTGTTCCAACAGGAGGAATGTTGAAACGCATAGCAAGGTGGACGTTGCTGGTTCCAGAAAGCTTGCCAGGGAATCCCTTCTTTTCAGCTTCCTTGGAGGCCTGGACTAGACCTCTGAAGACGAGAGCCTGAGTGTGGTAGTCGCGACGTCGTCGTGTGCCGAACTCAGATGTGACGCATCCTGCCTCAAGCAATTGGAGTCCCTTGTCAAACGCCTGCTTCTCTTGGCCCTCATAGTTCCAATCAGTATCCATAAACTTAAAATATGCCTCCGAGGTCAATGCCAGCATGGGGATTTCGTAAAGAATCGTGTCGACCCAAGTTCCCTTGATCTGAATGTCGACATCGCCAACGATTGAGTCATCTCCATTGTCTTCGCCGACAGGAGTGAAGGTCGCAACAACTTGCTCTCGGGGGCTTAAGCGGAACTCCTTGAGGAAGTTGAGGTAGTCGTCAGAGAGGTAATCGCAGTGTTTCTTCAGAAACAGATATTCGTCGGTGGAAAGTGAGATATTTCCGAGCTCTGGACATCAAGGTGAGTCATAAGACAGTTCCGCCAAAGCCTGATAACAACATACTTCCAATCTGCTCCTCAAGCCACTTGAAGGCGGTCCGTGACAGCTTCTTATCGGGGGTTCGGTTGGTGTAGGCGTATGTTACTGGTACATCCTTGAAGAACTTGAAGACCGCGCATTGCATGGTCAACTTGTACAGGTCGGTGTCGAGGAAGGAGATGACGCCCTCAGGGTAGGGCGAAGAGCTGTTGAAAACCATGACTGCGGTTACTGGGTTCGAGAACGCGTAGATATGTATGTCGTATCAGAGGCAGTGCCGGGCAAGGATTCAGCTTTATAGTTTGGGGTCGCGGGGACTTGGAGAGCTGAGTTCGGAGGTGCGGAGACGACGTCAAGGATATCGTGAAAGATGCGGCATGAATTGTCAAGAATGATTATCCTGAAAAGATAGAACCGCAAATTGTGAAGGTGATATAACCTTTGACGTCGCAAAGTTAATTGTTATGACGCGAGCTATCCACCTCTGTGACGTTTGTTGAGTCAGAAAAGATGTGACGCATCCAGAAGAGATCCAGAACAGAAACACCGAAAAGAGAAAGAAGCAGAGGGAGGGGCACGCGCTGAAGGGAAGGAAGGTGAGGGGTTGGTCGTGGCTGCCACAGGTGGGCTAGTTCTGCAATGAGGGGCGCTAATGGCGCTATGACCACACCTTATTTTTCCTGCAAGAAAAAAATTTGGGAAAGTTCGCGAGGCTTGGATTTTTCTTCCTGAACTGGATCTTAACGCCTGGCTACGCGGCGGCTGGTAACAACTTTTCTTGATCCGCATAACCATTTCAATCCGATTTTTGAAATCTCTCGATCTAATAATTAATCGCTAAACACCGCGCCATTCGATACTCGGCTTCAAAGCCTGATTCCGCCGTCACAATGGATATTCATCGTTGTCGATTCGTTCCCTACAAGCCCTCCGCCATCAATGCCATCGCCTTCTCTCACCCCAAGACACGCTCAGCGCAACAAGGTGCCCTCGCGCGACTTGCGATCGGACGAGCTAATGGCGATATCGAGATCTGGAACCCTCAGAATGGCTCCTGGAACCAGGAGCTAATCATTCCTGGTGGCAAAGATCGAAGCGTCGATGGATTGGTCTGGGTCAATGAGCCCGACCAGGACCTCGGCGATGGACGCGTCGTCAACGGAAAGTCAAGACTCTTCAGCATAGGCTATACTTCTACAGTCACCGAATGGGATCTCGAGACAGGACGGCCCAAGAGACACGCCAGCGGCCAACATGGAGACATCTGGTGCATGGCTGCTCAGCCCGGTGGAAGCGACAAAACCGGCCTCGGCGTCGATTCCCAAGACTCTACCAAGCTTGTCGCCGGAACAATTGATGGCGAGCTTGTCATGTACTCGATTGAGGACGACGACCTGCGATTTCAGCGAGTTCTGTTGCGATCGCCTACCAAGAAGGCTCAGATGGTCAGCATCACCTTCCAGTCACGCAGAGTCGCCATTGTCGGCTGCTCCGATAGCACGATTCGAGCGTACGATGTTACAAAGGGCCACATGTTGCGCAGGATGACACTGGGCGCTGACCATGAGGGTCGTGCTAAGGATATCATCGTCTGGTCTGTCAAGTGTCTACCCAACGGCAACATCGTCTCGGGCGATTCCACTGGCCAAGTTTGCCTCTGGGATGGCAAGACATATACCCAAGCACAGCGAATTCAGAGTCACAAGCAGGATGTTCTTAGTCTCGCAATAAGCGCCGACGGTACTTCCATCCTCAGTGGTGGCATGGATCGACGAACGATTCTTTACAAGCAGAACAGCGGTGCTGGAGCGCGATGGAGCAAGGTCTGGGGACGAAGATACCACGACCACGATGTCAAGTGCATGGCATCCTTTGAGAGTGGCAAAATCAGCGTCGTTGTTTCGGGAGGTAAGATTACATTGTGTTACTACAAGGAAGGCCATGGCTAACTCGAACAGGTCCCGATGCTAACCCCGTCGTTATCCCACTGAAGGAAATGGGACGCGAGAACCACCGTATCATGTCTAGTCTGCCGCAGCAAGCTCCTTTGTTGAGCGCACCAAAGGCTCGCTTCGTTGTCAGCTGGTGGGATAGGGAGGTTCACATCTGGCTTCTTCGACAGTCAGCTACCGAAATGATCAACACCGAGAACAACGATATCAACCAAAACCGCAAGCTGATTAAGACTATTGTTGTCAAAGGAGATTCGAATATTACCTCGGCAACTATTGACGACGAGGGTTCGCTTCTGATTGTTGCTACTGCTATCGATGTTAAGGCCTTCAGACTAGAACACCAGGATCCCGTCAGGCCCTCTGATGTCAGGGTCTGGTCTTCCGAACTTCCTTCAAAGCTTGCGGGAGTCGGTGCCACCAAGGTACAGCTGTCGCCTAACGCGCAGTGGCTCTGCGCAATCCAGGAAGGCTCTCGCGTTGTCATGGGTGCCCTCGACCCCGTTACTCCCAGACCTGAACTTGTCTTTTCACCAACTGTCCAACGACTGACACGCCTACGGCGATCAGTTCAACGTCATATCCTCAACGGAGGACTGGGCAAATATGACAGGGCCATTACGCAGGTCGCCTTCTCCCCGGACTCCAAGATGCTCGCAGTGTCTGACATCGCCGGCTATATCGACACCTGGATTTTGAGCGATGGTCAAAAGATAAAGTCAGAGGGTGACGCGTCCTCATCAGGTGAGAGTGACTCTTCGGATGAGGAAGAGGAGCTCTCGCAGAACATTGAGAGGTGGATCCGTAACCCCAATGCTAAGCTACTGCCCAAGTTACAATCTGCAGCTACGGTTCTGTCATTCTCAGCCGATGTTCCTCGAGCCAAGGTCTCCCCTAGAAGCTCTTTTGACGGAATTGATGGCGCAGCTGACCTTGTCGACGACTACACCCTCCTCACAATCACCTCGTCGTGGAGCTTGCGTACCTTCCACCCTCTGCAAGGCTCTCTCACCCCTTGGTCACGCCGCAATGGCCGAAGTGAGCTGCCCGCTCCTGTGCAGGATCTTCTCGATCTCGCCAAGGGAGTTTTCTGGGAGGGCTCCCGTGCTTGGATCTACGGTGTCTCATTCCTCCTCATGCTTGACCTAGCTCAAGATCTCCCTAAATCGTTGGAGAGCGACAGCAACGACAAATCGCTCAAGCGCAAGAGAACAGGACCCTCTACCGGAGCTGGTGGCAGAATGGAGCAAGGCGCTATTGCCCCCTCGCTGGTTCGCAAGCACACTGCCGGTCAGTGGGAGGACGTTGATATGGAAGACGCCCCCCAACCCGAGGATGACATCAGCGACGATGAGGCTGAACAGCCCAACAGTGAACTCGCTCAACTACGGAACCGTGAAGTGGGCAAAGACACTGAAGCCGCCGAGACTGGCGGTGAACGCAAGAGCTGGTGGATGACCTTCAAGTACAGACCCATCTTTGGTGTCGTTCCCATCAGCACCGCAGGCCAGCCTCTCGAGGTTGCCCTGGTGGAGAGGCCGACATGGGATGTGGATATGCCCGAGAGCTACTTTGCCGTTGAGCAGTGGAGGAAGTAATGATGACTACATCCGGAGATGAGATGTATGAGTGGACGGGATGAAAAGGTTGTCTGAAAACTGATCGTGGGGACGCATGTTCGGCGTAACTAGTTGCAAGGATGACGGACGTTCAAAGGGTCCAGACTCGAAAAGCATGATCCTGGTTTGTAGATTTGTATGTTTGTTACACTGGCTACGTAGACCAATGTGCGTACACATAGATACGGGCTATCGAATTAAAATTTTGGGATATTGGATTTCTACTGCATACGTATACCCATGTCTGCATCGTGAACATGTCAGAAACTTGTCATTTACGCCAGCTGTGTATATTCCTTAGGCGAACCGTCGCATTCGTTCAACTTTAGATCCCGGTTCTCGTTCATCTAGCCTGTTTCACGGGGCTGGAGATGGACATGTCTCGCGTATCGGGGGAGTGTCATAATATCCAATATCAGACGAACTTGATGCCCCTCAGGGTATCAGAAAAGTTGGTCGCTTGATGTACAAGAGACGAGATTAGCAGTTCACTTTATGCTATCTGAACTGTAGTCTTGGGTTATTTATTTCTGTACTCTCAAGTACAGAGGTTATCTTTTCTGCTGCCCACTAGGAGTATCATGATATCTGATATCAGGCGAACGTGATACCCAACAAAACAAGGCTCGAGCGAGTCACGAGCAAAGGAACAATCCCAGTCTGAGCGAATTTCTTCTCTTCAACTTACATGATATTGCCCAAGTGCACTAATCAAGTTACAAGATATGACCTCCAGTTTCTACACTAATAGCCCGTTGCACAAGTTTACCGAAAAATGTCTAGGCATTATGAACAAGGCCCAGTCTTGCCCACCCCCGTCGAACGCGCGTCCACGACGGCTGAAGAAACTTCGGGTGTCATCTTGGCCTTGTCGAGCTTTGCGGCTGATAGACAGACAGGTCATGGGCCATGTTTGATGAATGCCAGGTTGGTTCGGGAAGTGGACGTTGGGATGAGGGTTCACGACAAGGGTTTGTGTGAAAGTATCTCGACATTGTTCCTTATCCTTGTGGGCTTTGACGTCGGTTGTAACTTACACGACTCATACTTCTGGATGAGTGACTGGGTAGTTGAGTCTAATAGTTCAGGGTAGAGTTACGTATCAAAGCATATATCCCCAGACCCGAAGCCTCGTCATACTAGATGTTTGAATTGCCAAGAGAAGAAGTAGATCCGTTGAATGAGAGTTGATCCTAGGGAAGATCCCGCCTGACTTTCCAATGAGAGTGGTGAGTAGACGGAAAGCTGAACGGAAAGTTACCGTATGTAAGAACTGCTTGTTGTATTTCTGATGCAGTGATTTTATGGCGATCAGTCAAGTCAGGGACCACACTTGAGGTCATAAATTCATGTGCTGGCTTTCAAGAGCTTGCGTATCACAAAACTAGCGAAATGCTTAGTCTCGGGATCTGATCTTGTCGTTGGCTTGGCTTTTTATGTTTCTTCTTGGCAATATTCTTTACCAAAACATCCTGCGTAAATACCGTCAAAGTGGAAAAAAACACTAAAACTTCCAGAAATCAGAAGCGTCTCGAGATTGTCGGTCAGGAGGTGGCGATTAAGAAAACCGCGTTGCGTAGGCTTTTTGTTAGATTCGAGATATTGGGGATTGAATTGTTTTGGGTACGCAAGCCAATGTCATGGAGCGTCCAGATGACGCGGCCCTTTTTGGCGGTTGTCTTGTCACCGCACGCCCCAGTCGTAAGCGCAGCAAAATTGATCGGCAAACCACAACTGAAGCATGATTGGGAACAAGAACTGAACTCTTTGACAAAGTGGGTTTATTCCTCTGTTTAGGGCAACGTGTGCGAAAACGGTGAGTAGATCTTTCACAGTTGTTTGGGGATAATAATTGAGGAAACGGAAAAAGGGATTGATGAATTCGGCTCCGATGCCCCTGTTAACTAAATTCCTCGACACGACCTGTCCCGCTGCCAAGATCGCAGGGTTGCGTCAGGTTTGTTCGAGACGTAACGTTGCTAGGTAATAAGCGCAGCAGCGCACGCAAGCAAGGCAAGGCAAGCAAATAATCAAGGGCGCAGTAGCAGGTTGAACTGGACTGGGCGCCTGTCAGATCGCAAGCTCGGATTGGACGAGACTGCTTTAATTCCAGGGGCAGAGCGCACGCGATTGCAGACGCCAAAGCTAGTTAAGCTTCTTTTTCAAAGAGTGCCCAGCCCGTCTAGCCGGATATCATGGTAATAAGAGATTTGATGTTTGAGATGTTAGGACCAACGAGCAAGACATGTTTTATTCGTGATCGACGGTATCAGGTAAATGCGGGATAGGGAAGAAACATGCAGTGCAGATCTCCGCGGAGTCGTTGAGGAGCATCTTGTCTGTCGGGCGTAATGTATTGGCCTCGACAATTTCGGATCAAGAAGGAATATTTGATGTCTTTTATTGCAAGAGTTGAGGGCCTGGCATTGCAAGACAATATCAATTGTGACACTATAGGGTCACCAGTTGTATTTGACTCAATAGCGTTGGTTGGTCGCTATATCTCGTCCCTGGCATCAAAGAGATGTGGCTTACAGATGAAGTCACGATGTAGTCCATCAGATTCAAAGATTGAACTCTAAAAGCTCCGAAACTTATCGACGTGTTTATCTCGAAATGCTCATGCGCAAAGTGTTGAAACAGAACCAGAGCGTGCCAGCGGATTATGATGCACGTCAATGGAGGCAGTGGAATTGCAAGGGACAAGAGGCCGCGAGTCAAAGTGGAGCCGTGTGGAACTGGAAATAAGATGCCAGGACGGCACCGCCACGACACTGTGGCTAGTGATCGTCAAAAGATGAGACAAATCTCCCTCCCAGAGGCAACACAAATAAGCGCGATCATCTACTCAGCTACAAGATAGTCTAAAGTTCCAGGTTTGAGTGCGCGGCAGTGCGTCAATTCCTTGAAAGACTCAAGCGTGGCTCAGTGTAGGCATAGGTAGGCTGTGCCACGATGCTATTAAACAAGGCCTTTTTTAAGGACCTCACCACTGCCTCGTCATCGCCCACCACGACGAGGGGCACGTTCCCGCTAATGTACCGATACTTGTGACTCGCAGAAAATTGCAGCGGTGGTTAGTAGCCTCGAAACGTTTCTCCGGCGGAGGAAAACCTCAGAGGCCAGTATTCTACAATGACAAATTGGGGATACAATAGCTTGTGAAGCTTGATATACTCAGTTGTTATTGTGACATTAGCTTCTTAGCTGAACTACACTTTGTTATAATTATACCCAAAAATTGAAACTGAATTCTGTCTTTTCTCTCTCTCACCAGGACAGCCCAGTGATCTAATGCCTGTCCTGCTCCACTGATCAAGCGGTCGATGCTTTTTTGACACGACCTGACGGTTTCTTTTCCCCGCGCTTATCAACTACTACGTTGAGTTTAGAGGCTTCACATCGAATGCATTGCCACAGATTGAGTAGATGGTGATTTGCGTTAGATTTCCCATTCTTTGAAAAAAATCCATATTTTATTTAAAACAAGTGTCGCCTCTCTGTCGTTCCTTTCTCCATCTGACTTGTATTCCGAGTCGCACGAATTTAGAGGCTGACGCTCGCTAATAATTCGCTGATGACGATGATCTAGGCCAGGCGCCACTTTGTCTTTCGCTGTTCGGTGTTCCCCTAGAACGTACATGGGAGGTACGCACGCAATTGGTATTGGTATCACTAAAAGGTCTACGTACACGTGCCTCGCGGTGCCTGGCCTGAGTAGCTGGGAAATGGGTTTCTGTCGCCTCTTGATGATGAATCTGTTTGCGTAGACTTTTTGTCTATTAGAGTATCTGCCACGAACTATCAAAAGATATACGCATTAATACTCGTAGGCTTCACTGGCGGTGATATTAAATACTGTCATTTGAGTCTTCACTTGACCAGAGTATCCATCAATCTAATCCAATCAATCCTACGCCCGGAACAGGATCAGTGGCCGTTTTCCTACAGCAAGGCAATCCCTCCAAAAGTACGAGGCCGCTGTACCAGTACATTCCCCTGCGCCCAGCGGCCCCCACCCAGACCGTCAACGGTTTCTGTTATTGGTCGTGGCGCTCACTGCTGACGCGTAAACTGCCATCGTAGGCTCTGACCCAGAGTGGGCTAGAGCGAGCCAAAGACGCACACCCTCCCGAGACACCCCGTCCCTTTATTCCCCTGGTCCACCCTCGATTCTCATCGCCTGCCTGCTTTTGCTCCTGCCTCTCCTCTTCTTGTGCTGTGCTGCGCTGTCTGGTCTGCAGTGGTCATCATCCAGCTTCTTTCGCCAATTCGCGAGTCGTTAAACTCCCTCTCATTTATCTCACTTGCGGCGACGACGACGACGACGAGAATCCGATTCAACTTTGACTTCAAACCGATCCTGTCAAACGGTGTTCTCACGACGGCTAAAAAAAGAAACGACTTCGATTGAATCTTCTTAGTCATCAAACTCGAGAGCGACCGACGGATTTGCTCTCAGATCCAAAAAGGCCCAAACAAACATCTGGGTCAACGCGTGTATTGTGGCAATCAAGCCTGTTGACACGCATCCCGTTGCTTACGACGACATTCAAACGATTAACATTACGACGAAACTCTGAGGTTTCAAACAACCTCGTAAATACCCAACGATTGAATCATCTCTCCAGCCTGGTCACATCTGGGCAACAACACCATCGATTTATCTCATATAACAACTTCCAAAACTACATCGCCCGTCTATAAACTCAAACAACCACTTTTATATCAATATGGCGGGCCAACACACGCCTGCGGGCGAATATGGCGAGGAATGGGCGCGAGATCTTCGAGTCCAGTTCGAGGGCTTGTTACGAGACAAGCGTATGAACGATCTTCGAAACACATCTCGACAAAGCTCTCCGAGCCTGGGAGATCAATCTCCTCATATGCGAAGCTCACCTTTCCCAGCCGATAACCGACCCTCAGCGTCTCAAGGACCTGCTCTCCCTTCTTACGCCGCCCTGCGACATCTCCCCAAAATCCCGTCTCCTCCTGCTGCCGGCGACCGTGATTCTCAAAAGTTTAGAAACCTCCTCATCAGCTTATCATTAACACCAACCAAATACGAGAACCCTGGTCTGCTTGACGAGGCTTTGCAAACCATTCCATTGGATCGCATCTATGGAGAGGCCGAGGAAGAGACTCAGGTTTTGCAAGCTCAGGCTGAGAGCATGGGTGATGGACGAAAACCCGAATGGGGTTATCAAGACTGTGTTATTCGGGCATTATTAAGGTACGTCATTTTCTATCCGATTCCATCTTTCGGCTAGATGACTGACACGATTGATAGATGGTTTAAGCGATCTTTCTTTAGCTGGGTCAACAACCCACCATGCCCATCCTGCTTATCTCCTACCATCGCTCAAGGCATGACTGCCCCTACGCCTGAAGAGAGCGCTTGTGGTGCCCTTCGAGTTGAGTTGTATCGATGCTCTGCTCAGCATTGTGGAGCTTACGAACGCTTCCCTCGATACGGTGATGTTTGGCGATTATTGCAAACTCGACGAGGACGTGTTGGTGAATGGGCCAACTGCTTTAGCATGCTCTGCCGAGCTGTCGGTGGTCGTGTTCGCTGGGTTTGGAACGCCGAAGACCATGTCTGGACCGAGGTTTACTCTGACCACCAGAAGCGATGGGTTCATGTGGACGCTTGTGAGGAAGCATGGGACAACCCTCGTCTCTATGCCGAGGGCTGGGGTAAGAAGATGTCTTACTGCATCGCCTTTTCTATTGATGGCGCTACCGACGTTACTCGACGATATGTTCGTAAGAACCAACACGCTTCTGAGCGTAACCGATGCCCTGAGGAGGTTCTTCTCTACGTTATGCAAGAGATTAAGAACATGCGTCGCTCCAACATGAACAAGGACGAGCGCTTCCGATTGGAGAAGGAAGACACCCGCGAAGATAAGGAGCTTCGAGGCTACGTTGTGGCTTCAATTGCACAAGCCGTGACTGACCTCGTCCCCGGCTCCCCTGGTGGATCCAACCACACAACAGCCAGTGGAAGCGATACCAAGGTGCCTGCTGAGCAACCTGGCCGACAAACTGGAACTGCTGAGTGGTTGACTGCTCAACAACAACAATCTCACAATCGATATCAACCCCGCGATCCCAGCCACCGACGACCATTGCCTTAAAGCTGCGCGCATTCATTGCGACTCTTTTATTGGCACTGCGAAACTTGTGTGCGCATGTGTATTGTTACTTGATGACCGCCACCACCAGTCATTACCACTTCACCATGGGGACCGACTATATAATACCCACACCCATGGTTCACTACGAATTTAAAACCCGAATACCTCGATGAAAGTATCACGGCCATCAAACCACACGACCTTCTCCATGATACCATCCTTTCGATGATCTTACGGCCACAAACCAAATATTCCCTTCATGTCTAATACTATACATCTTTGACAGCCATAGCATAGACTCGGCGTTGAACCATTTTCCAAGGGCGGCAGCCCGCATCATCTACCATATCAAATCAATCTGTCTTTTTTTTTTTTACTTTCTTTTGTTTATTCTCTTTGTATAGGGGGCGCATAACGGTGGCCAGCAGGGACGGGTTGGTCCTTTTGCTCCGGGGCGTTTGGATGTGTTTTCTTTAAAGGCTTTCATGAGCGAGTATGAGGCCAGGCAAAAGAGATGGTTCAGATCAGTGGATGAATAAGATAGGATAAATCAATGCCACAGTGCAGTTCCTTTCTTTCCAAATTGAATTGTCTTTATTTAAGTGAATGTGAATGCGATATGAGGATGTGGTCGCTAATTTTAATGTCATTGTTTGACGAGTCAGCTACCGGCCCTTTGAGGTTACTTGAAAGTATCGAGCATCCGTCACGTGCCTGGCTTTGTATGGTGCTTCGTCGAGATCTTCAACAAAGCAATTCAATACCATGCATCTATTTTAATTGCCAGCCCAATGAATCAATTCAAAGGTTTCTTCAGTTGTCAAAGGCTACATCACGTGTTTGTGTCAAATTCACTACGTCCTATCTTTAGGGTAGTCAATGCTTCACCTTGGATCTTCATCAAAGAAGTTCAATTCCTTTTTCCGTTCAATGAACACCCCCGTGGGTGAATTCAAAGGCTTCTTTATCAAATGTTAAAAATATCATGTAAGTTACTTGAAAGAGGTGAAACGATGAATCCCGTCACGGACTTAGGGAGACTTGCTTGCAGGTGCACGACACTTGGCAAAATTTACGTATAAGCCAAAGTGAAGGTACCCTAGAGAAAAGATATCCAACAATCACAACAACATTTTATTCTTCCCTTTCAACATCAATCTTTCTCAAATAAATTGATCACCGTGAAAATGAGAGTTCTTCGCTCACAGACTCGACGCGCTGCTGCGGCTGCTGAACCTGTGGTTACGCCGCAGAAGAAGGTCTCACGCAAACCGACTAACAAGACAGCCTCCAAGGATGCTGTCGAGATACCAACTCCACCACCTTCAACTCGCAAGGGCAAGGTAACCAAGGCCAAGAAGAATGCCACATCCAAGAAGCAGAAAAACGAAGCTGGTGAAGCCTCCCAGGATGCCGTCGGTTTGACTGATGATACTCTGCCAACTCCATCACCATCTACCCGCAAGGGTAAGGGCAAGGTAACCAAACCGGCAACTGAGGATGAACCATCTCAGGCCGAGAAGGAGACCGAACCGGAGGAGCAGAAAGAGGAAACAGATCAACCCTTCCAGGCTCCTGTCGACTTGACTGATGCTACTCTATCACCATTGCCATCAAACCGCAAGCGCAAGCTGCCAGCTGAAGTTGCATCGTCCAAGGCCAAGAAGGAGACCACTCCTAAGAAGCAGAAAAAGGAAGCAGGTCAAGCCTCCGAAGATCCTGTTGCTTTGAATCCATCGCCATCAACCTCCAAGCGCAAGCTGCCAACTGAAGATGAATCACCAAAGGAGACTCCCAGCAAGAAGCAGAAAAAGGAAAAGGCAGAGAAGCGACTGTGCAAATTCAGAACCGAACCCCCCAAGTTCTTTGATCGTGTCCTTAGCCGTTCTCTTGGGCAGACATTCTACATCCTAAACCGCACCAGTCACGGTACCGAGGCTTGTCCCGAGGAGGACTTTGAATTGGTCGGAGCGACTGGCAATACTTACACGGTCAGTATCGGAAACCGGCTCTCATGCAACTGTCCTCACCATTCCCTGGGATTCCAGCAGTGCAAGCACATCATCTTTGTAAGTCTCTCTCACGTCTCACCCTTTTTTAAACATGGCACTAATTTGTCGTTGCAGATCATGAAGAAGGTTCTCAACGCCCCGGATGAGTTGGTCTACCAGCAAGCCCTCATCAGCACTGAGCTCAAGTCAATTTTCGATTCCGCGCCTTCTTTCTCAGTAGAGCCACAAGAGGAACCCGTGAAGCGCAGACCCATCGAGGGAGACTGCCCCATATGCTACTGCAAGCTTGAAGAGATGAAGAAGGCTTCCATCGTTTGGTGTGCTGCAGCTTGCGGTCACAATTTCCACATGCAGTGCCTTAAGATTTGCGCTCGTCCTGGAAAAGTGACATGCCCAGTGTGTCGCAGCGACTGGAAGGGTAACAAGAAGCTGGTGACCGACATCCAGAAGGACGATGAGCAGATGATTGATCGTTTTGTCGACGCTGGGCATGGTGTCAACGCTAAGTAGTATACGAGCGACGAGGGTGAGATAGATACTACTCCTCTTAAAAACCGTCTCAACAGTAAGTTGTGCTCGAAGGCAATTAGTAGTGCTTGGTGACTGACCTGTTCTTTTAGCCCTGTCGACTTCTGCGCGATGGTACAAGTATAGCGATCAGGCTAGGAACCTCCGATGGGCAGATTAAATATGCGATCAGAGACGGAGATGAGAGATGGATTTTTCTTTTGTGCGATTTACTGGTAGCCATAAAGCAGTGCGATCTCTCTTTAAGATTAAGGAGCTCGGCGCATTCGGATGTTTTTACGAATGGTACCTGAAGGAAGGATGGCATTTGACGTTTTGCTCTTTATGTAGAATTATGAATTATGAGCCGAGGCTCAATAGATTAATGTACTTGACTGATTTTATTTACCTTGATTGCCTGCTCGGATGTGATGTCAGTGTGTTCCACGATTGAGATAAAAGGGTGGCCACGGGGCGTGAATTTGACTGGAAGGACACGACGCTTTACAAAGAGGAATACGGCCGCGTCCAGGCTGCTTTTTGAGATCTTGAGTGTGTCTCAAAGCCAAACTTAGACCTCCAAGGTTCAACCACAGCCAATTCACAACAAACACTACTCGTTGTTGTCGTGGGGATAGGACAAACTCTCGTGATGGGTGACCAGCAAAAAAAAAAAAAAAAGGGACACTCTATCCTTCATCAATAAACTCAACATGCACACGATTCTAGATCACGACGTTGAGTTACCAACTCATCAAAGTCCGCAAAAAGAGATGGAAGCACTGGACTCGGTGCGCCAAAGGATCTTCGGCGGCGGACTTCGGCGGTTTCGGTGGGTCCCCTCCGAACATATCCACCTCCACCGCCGAGGCACCGACTCCGCCGCCGGAAGCAAGTAAATAAAAGATCATTTTTCTTCCTGTTTCTCTATATACAGTGCAAGAATTCGGATCATCACTTTAAGCAAAATGTCCAAGTTACCGTCTACCACTCGAACCCTCGTTGCACCTAAAAAATGTCTCCCAGCTGGGTACACAGTCATTGAGGAACCAATCCCAACCATCACCAAACCAAATGAAGTTCTTGTCAAGATGAAAGCTGTTTGTATCAATACTGGTGATACGAAGTTTGCGTCTGGGCAGTTTGGTATCCTTGTTGGTGATCGAGTGTAAGTCAACACACATACACCCTAAGACAATCCTCTGACAAAGAGTGCAGTAAATTCCCATTTGCTCTCGGCATGGAGGGTTCAGGAGTAGTGATAGCCGTTGGATCAGCTGTCGCAGACTTCAAAGTCGACGATGAAGTTTACGGCGTGGAGTATGAGAAGCCTCTATTCAGTCGACCGCCTGCAAAATGGTGTTCAGACTACGTTGCCACAGAAGCCAAGTTCCTCCACAAGAAACCGGAGCATACTTCTTTTGAAGAAGCTGCTGCTTTACCAGCGCTCACGGTAGTTGCGTATCAAACCATCAAGAATGGACTACAACTCAGAGGACTGGATGACCTTGTGGGACAGACGGTGTACATACCAGCTGCTCTCAGCGGAACTGGTTCGTTAATGATCCAAGTCGCCAGAAATTACTTTGGCGCAGAAAAGATCATTTCAACAGTGTCAACAGCCAAGATCGGCCTTGTTGAAGAGTATCTTCCTGGTCTGGTTGATCAACTCTATGACTACAAAACTCAAAACATAGTCGAAATGGTCGGTCGAGGCACCGTCGACTTTGCAGTCAGCACTCAATTCAGCACACTGGACGACTGCATAGCCATCCTCAAACCCAAGACAGGTATCCTCGCGAGTATCGCAAGCGTGCCCAAGAGCGAAGTGATGCTCAAGATGATGGGTCCCAAACTCTTCCCAGCTTGGCTCGGATGGCTTCTCGATATGTTTCAGTGGTGGTATACCTGGAAGTTACGCGGTACGAACATAAAGTATGAGTTCTTCTCTGGAAATCCTGGTATCATGGAGGATATGGAAGTTGTTGCGGGTATGATTAAGCAGGGCAAGGTCAAAGGGATTTGTACAGTGGTGGATTTTGAGAACTTGGAAGATATCAGGAAAGCTTGTGATAAGGTCTACAAGATCCAAGGAGGTCCGGGAAAGTTGGTGATTCGGATGTAAGGAGCTGGCTGAGTTTTTCAGGCGTGTTCTTACAGGCGAGTGTTCAAGGAGGGTTTCCTTAACTTGTTGATGTGGCACCGTATTAGTCCGTGTCTAAGTTTGTCTTCGTCCAGACACTCTCATGATATTGAACCTAATGATACAGACGAAAGTCTGTTTCGAGGGCATATAACCCTTCCGACCTCTCTCTGTGAAAATGGACACGAAATTCTTCCCTTTCATCGCCCCCCAAAACTTCACCTTTCACACACTCTCAAAATCGCCCACCATGAATCTCCGAAACGGCAAAAGAACTGGTCGCCCTCAACCAAAAACACCAAAGACTCCGGAAACACCACAGTCCGAAGACTCTGTCGCTCCTTGTGTCAAGGATGATGTCCCCGGGGAGAAGGACCCGAAATACCTGGAGGATATCGTGGCAGAGAATGTTACATATCCTGTATGTCGAGCCCTCTGGAAGTTCATCTTGTCCCCTCTCTGGCAATGGGTACTCCGACCAACTCTCTGGGAGTATCTATTACGTCCCGTTCTCTGGGAGAGAATTCTACGACAAGGTCTCTGGGAGGGATTCTCGCGACGAATCATTTTTGATGGAGTATTGAAACAGATTCTTTTTCACGGACTAGTACAAAGCTTTCTTGGAGAGAGAGTGTTTCTTCCTCTATACCAGATGTGTGAGGTGTTGGTGTTTCCTCTGGTACAGAGAATCTTTGAGGCGATGGTGCACCCCCTATATCGGCAACTCGTACAGAAATTACCTGCGTCCGCACGACGTAAAGTAAAGTCGATGCTGTCTCCCATTTACCGGGAACTGGAGGATATATCAGGTCCTTTTCGAGAAATGATCTGGGACCCGATACTGTACCCTCTATTGAGCCAAATACGCCCGGAAGAGCTGCTGTCGTTTCTCTTCGTCTTGCGAATCTCGACCAAGATCACTTTCGCCTCGGATCAAGCATACCTCTCTACACGCGGGGTAAGTCCATTGCCCGAGACTTTAAATGCCTACTGAACACAGCTAACTTGTGATAGTATCGACCTGACACAGAAGAGTTTTCGAAACGTTCGGTTACAGAGTTTGGCCAGATCCCTTTCCAAGACAAGTATTCGTGGTGTTGGTTGCTTCAATGGATAGTATGGATTGTGTGGGCATGAGGAAAGGATATTATGGAGGAAGTTGTTGATTTTTTTTATTGCCTTTGTTCATATATATACGGTTTCTTCTTCTTGCTGTCGCACTTCTGGGGAGCTGCTGTTGGTTTCATATTGCTTTTCAAGTCGTTGGGGAGTTGCCTGCCATGATGTTCCTAGCGTTGCCAAGTTCAGTACGGAGTTCCTATATCATTACTATTGCAACTTGTCTCATCGCAGTGAATACGATTGTTGTTCTCTTCTATCAAAGACAGCCTCTTACGGCTATGCGAACGATGCATTAATCCTCCGTGCTGTATGCCTTACGTCTGCATGAGCTTACGTCCAATCTAGCAGAATTATCTATATTACTACCCTGGCACGTAACAAAAGGCACAAATTCATGATACCATAATAGAAATTTATGAGGATTCCCTATTAATTACAAGTGTGTCTAAAGGAGTTTAATAGATCACTCTGAAAACTGACCAGTCTTGGATCCTTCGTTATTCTGACCATGTGCTCGTTGCGACGATCCGAACAACGATGGTAGCTCCGGCCATCCACCAACTCGCTGTTCTAAATTTACCTTGAATATCTTGCTGTCAGTTTACCCGTAGAACAAGGAAAGAAGCCGAGTTCAAGGGTCTTGCAGATTTTTACCCACTCCCAGTTCTCTTTATACACGCTCCTTTGATTCCGAACACTATCTCCGCGCCCGCTTCAGGGGTCGATCGGTATCTGCGCCATTCTCTATCAGTAGCTTTACAATGTTATTATGGCCTCTGTCTGAAGCAGCTTCTAGAGCAGTTCCATAGCAGCTTGATGCATTGACATTTGCGCCCTTCTCTAGCAGTAGCTTCACGACCTCATAGCGGCCTTCAATTGCAGCAGCTTGCAGAGCAGTTCCATAGCAGCTTGATGCATTGACATTTGCGCCCTTCTCTAGCAGTAGCTTCACGACCTCATAGTGGCCTTCAGCTGCAGCATCTTGCAGAGCAGTCATAGTGGCCTTCAGCTGCGGCAGCTTTCAGAGCAGTGCCATATTGATGTACTTCTAGTGCATTAACGTTTGCGTCCTTCTCTAGCAGTAGCTTTACGACCTCATAGTGGCCTTTAGTTGCAGCAGCTTTTAGAGCATTGTCGTATCGCCCACCTGCGGCATTGATATCCGCCCCTTTGTCAATCAGGGCTCGGGCCACATCTGGAAGCCCTGTCAGGCAAACGTAATAGAGCCTGGATGCCGTTGGGGGGCCAGGATACTCCAGCCAAGGCCACTCCGCTTGATATAATCGACACCATCGTTCGAAAGTCTCTTTTCCCTCTAAGAACGTCAACATTTCTTGTAAAGAATCTTGGAACATCTCTGCTGAAGCACCGAAACTTGTCCATGTTCTCGCTGCGAAACGTGCCATTGGAAAGTCGTACTCGACGTGCTCAATATCGTCATGACTAGTCGTGATGTCCTTCAGGTACGTCAGGCATGTTCGCGTGATGATGTTACTGGCTGCTAGAAGTTCAAAGTCCGCTCGGGTTTCCAGAAATTCATGGACCGAGAAGTGCGCAAGGTGCAGTTCATTGATTGTGCCCTTTGTTGTGTTCACTTCAACGATTGAGATCAAGCCGGGAGCATATTGTAAGACTAGTCCATCTTCAAAAGGTCGGCATTCGGCATCAAAATATGACGGGTTTACGTCTATGTTCGTTGCAATAACTTCCTTTGCCTCTTTTAAAGTCAGTGGCGACGGGGAATGGACAAGGAAGTGCAGGAGACGCTTGGCGCTATCTGCGAGATTCTCCGGGATGTTCTGCAGCATTCGTTCGTACGTCTCTGCAAGATCTCTGGGTAGAATATCGAGTGCGCTCTTCATCATTTTCGGATTCAGGCATTTTGCGAGATCGTCCATTTGACAAGCTGCCCATCTAAACCTATAGAAACTGTTAAGAAACCGCTTGACGCGGAAGCAATGTGAACTAGATAGCGACTCACATTCCATCGGATCCCTCACCAATTCGTGTTCGAATCAGTTCTACAAGATCCTCTGACAACTCTCTTCTCTTGAACTCTTCTCTTTCTGTAAGCTGATATGTGACGAAGGACCATATATCTTCATCCAGAGCCTGCTTGTCAATCGGGAAGCAGCTTTCTTGTCCTATAATGGCAGGTATACCCTGGTTTAAATCTGACTCAGGTCGGCTGGTGTAAAGTAACCGAACATCATGCAGTTCAGGGTCAGAACTCGTATTTTTGATCCATCGTAGAAGCTCATTTCTAGTCGTGGATTCATCCAGTGCATCTAGAAGAATACACACATGTTTCTCTTCGACGAGCATTTTGCGTACAATCTCGGATAGTGCTTCTGTAGAAGGCTGGTCTGCGCGATTGTGCCTGAACCATTCATCAAGGTGTTTTCTACACCCGGCCCCACGTTCATACATCTGAAATGCGAGTGAACGTAACATGCAATCCATGGTCTGTTTCCTCCCGTCGCTGAAGTCGAAGTAAAATCGAAGAAGGAGTCCGCGATACGTCCCGGTCAGATAGTCTAGAATAGTCGTGCTGAGAACAGTCTTTCCGCATCCCGCGAAACCATGCAGCCATAAATGTCGATTGGGCCCTGAACACCATGAGTGGAAGAAAGATTTGTTTAGAAGCCACATTCCTGTGCCTTCCTGGCGGAGTTTCCTTGCATGATTGACGTTGGTAGATGGATCGGGCGGGCATAGCCAGCTTTTGATCCCATCACAGTGGAGTTGAGATCCCATTTGATCGACGACGACTTGTGTTGCGAGCGAGGTCTTCTCTATTTGACTCACAGATTGTCCAACTATTTTGCTATTAGGGTATATTGAGACGAGAACATCGATTTACTAACTTGTTTTGAGTATTCGACTTTCAGCCTCTATTTTGTTGGGCGGAATCTGCTCCAGAAGCTCTTTCGTATACGCCGATGCTATCATTGCTGCATACCCTTGCCACTCTTTATTCTTATGTGAATCGGCATAGTCGCAGATACCACGGACTACTAAGCACGGAAAATGGTTCATCAGACCGGCTGCTTCCATCTCGAAACAGAGCACGCCCTTCTCTGCAGCCAGCTTATCTCGGATCAGCGCATCCTTCATCAGTTGGTTGGCGCTCGCAATGACTCCATAGTGAACGACCGTGCTATCGTCTTCCTGGTCGCGCTCTGGTCGATCCACCAAATGTTCTGGATCGTCACCACAAGCATTGCTACACGTTTGCAGCGAGTTTCGATGCACAAAGTCTGGCCGGTGTAGTCTATCATTTGAGGCTGGTGGTTGCGAAAAGTTCCTGCGGAGCTTAGGCTTCTTTTCTAAAACCTTCTCTACCTTGAAGTCGAGTTCATTGTTGTCTGCCATGTACCGCGTCTCTAGCGCGCCTACTGCGGCCAGAAGGAGTTGTGGTGGCTGGTTCAAGTGCTGTGTATAGTGGAATATCTGATCCTGGATTGTTTTGCCAAAGTCGTACTGAAAAACACCACCTTGACCACCATCGCGAGTACTCACCACGACATCTCCTAGGCGGATATCATGTGCTGCACTTGGAGCACCACCACCAATGCCGACCATAAGACCGATGCGGACATTAGGGAAGCTATGTAGCATATCCTTGGCAACCGTGGCCGCTGTCGTAGTCCCATATTCACCTTTTGGCAGGCTTGCCATAACGACGTTGTGACGTCCAACCCTACCTAGAATATAGACATTGTTGTCATGTTGGCTAACGGATTTTGGAGGCTTGTGTCGCTCGTCCAGGAATTGTTGGGCTGCCGCAGACTCAAGAGGAAGAGCGGATATCCAACCGATGGTGTATATCTGTGGATCTGAGTATATCTCTGGATCTGACATGGCTAGATGGCGACAAAGACAAAAGACGTCTAGGGATGGCAGAAAAACTCAAGATTTGTAGTAGGAAATCGCTTAATACTGGCGATTTCGAAGGAAAGATCATATTAAGTATGGAATTGGGATCGGACATCACTTCTGCCTAGTTTATATAGCTAGGTTCAGCTCAGCTCATGTTGATTCCTGCCCGATTGGGGATTATGAACTGTTGGCCTGACACCTAGCTCCAGCCTTTTCCTTCCAATACCTTTCAATGACATGCATCTTTAATTGGACAGGTTTTGGGCATGCTTGTTTTCCTCCTACAGCCAGGCCGCCATTTTGGGCCAACAGGCTGGGACTTGGCTTGGCAGTTGTTATTGTGATCCATGACTATCGGTGCTAAGGGACCTGAGCTGAGGAGATACTTACTCGCGAGTATAACGTTACTGATTACAGCGGAGTTCATACGCCTCACTGACAATCTGAAAAGAGATGTGAGCTTAGCAGTTGTACCTTGAAAGTTCAATAGTCATATGGTTTCTTATACTGCATTAGAGAAGGGCACGGGTTGGGGTTGGAGTTGGGGGCCTTGTATGGTCTCGGTTTCAAAGGAAGGGGAGAAATGATTACCTTATGGATATTCGCAATCATCCAAAGTTAGACCAAAAGGATGAGAGTCTATCATTGAGAGTATAGCAGCGACTTTAGTGTAACATCCCCAAGGCATTTTTGTCGAATAGTACAGAGCGTTTCGCCTTGTGTGAGTCAACGGATTGTACTCGGACACTCTCGCAATTCTGTGTTACCCATGCCATGGAGAAGGAGGGCATGGGTGCAACTTGCAACGCTCAGACTTGTAGCACTGCCTCGAATGGATTGTCAGTACGAGGCTGCGGCTCTTTGCCCACATGAACTGGTTCTACTTATTAATCCGTTACACCCCAGATCATCGATCTTTATGTCCTCTGTCATCTCACTCTTATCCGATGGAGACTGAAGTTGTCGTCGCTATTGCTTACTCCACTGCTGGACTGGTCGTGTCCTGCGTTGGAGTCTATTTTGCCATCAAGTTGCATCAAAAGAGCAAGTGGAAGAATTTCAAGAAGTGGTTTGGTAGATGAGGGAGCTGAAGTCTGGATACAGTTTTTGTTCAATAAGGTATTTCATCAACTTTCCACACAGGTGTTACGAATACTGATATCACGCAGTTCATCGTCATCAAGCTGGCCGAAGCAAACAACACCCTACTACACGACCAACACATCAAAGCCAACGCAATATCACCATATCCATCCCCTGAATAGCCGATTGAGTACGAACAGAAGTATTGTACGGTTGAAGTTGCGGAATGAAGGGTGGGTGAAGTTTAAAGGGCTAAGCAACATTGGAGTAGTATCATTGGTCCTGTGTAGGCAGGATATTACATTCTTTGTATGCCTCGAACGCTCCAGAAGTCTATTGCACCTGCCCCTCGTTAGTATAAGCTGGGGATTGAACATTGGAGTCTTATGTACTTGGAGTTTGATAGAACTTGATGTCACAAACAGAACAAAGCCTTGACATTGGCAGCCCCAAGTGATCGTTTCGGAGCCCATGCTAACCAGAGTTGGCACAGATGGTCAACCTGGGAGATCTAAAAGATTGCCGAGTCCCGCCGATACCGTCTAATTGAAAGCCGTAGAAGAATCTCTTCCAGAAATGTGGCTCGACTTGGAGGATGCACCGCCACGACCAGACAGTGCAATTCATTAGTGCGCCGAGAGGAGGAGAGAGAACCCCGCAAAACGTCAGCAACATCCCAAACAGGCAATTAATTAGGCCCAAAGAGGCAATTGAGTATTCGTTATAAGTGACGGTATCAATTGACAAGCAAAGCTCTGATACTTGCTACTTTTCTGAATGATTCCAATATAGTAACCTATATACATAGATGTACATAAATCTGAGGCACAAAAGTACCAAGAAGAAATCTAGTAACCGAAAGCACCATAACCGCTATCATCCATAGATCACCGTTAGTCTTACACACCTCTGCGCTTAAAAGTAAGGTCCAGACTTGTAAATTTCAACAAAACTTCTGAATACAATAGACATTGAATCATTTAGGCAAGATCTGGTCGAGTTGTTGACTTGGTGGTCGTCCAAATGCGACCGGTGAGTTCGCATCCGTGAGCTGAGGCCGTACTGCTGGCACAGGCGGAAGTTGAGGAGCAGTAGATGATGCGCTGTGGTATCTCAGATTAGCTATAAAACAGGAACATGTATTGCAAAAACATATGAAAATACCGTCCGCACATTAAAGACGCAGGATCAAGCCGCACCACAATAAGAGTTGAGGTCTCGATGTCGTTAGCGGCGAGATGCCGGCGACGAATTGCTGCGTATGCGAACCAAGCACTCAAAGACGACACAAGCAATCCGGGAATTGTACTGATAATAGTCACAATAGCGTCCGTAGAAAGGTTGCCCATGCTAAAAAGATTCGAGTTAGGCTTGTGAAATAGATAAGTAAAATAAAAACTTAACAATGAATAGTTGAGTTCGTTAAGTTTAAATAAATTATAATTGGTTTAGTTGAATGTCTGAAGGGATTAGGTGGTTAAGTTAAGAAGTTGATATCCGTATAGAACTGTAAAGGGAAGGAGACAGGGAAGAAATGGAGTGGCGGGCCAAAGGCAGGAAGGTAGAAAGGGCATCCACAAAGGTATTTTCATTGACGTTAAGAGGGAGGGGCAAGAGCCACTAAACTACCTACCTATATCTTGAGATAGGCGTCAACGCTCGTTGGACTTTTGCCCTGTATGGACTTGCCCTGTATGGACTAGCCCTGCTTGATTTTGGTATGTGGTTTAGAAGTTGCTATGTGCAATTCAATTCGGAACCAATCAAAAGGTCCTAGCAGACAGAGAAAACCAAAATTTATCACCAAAAGGTACATTGTTCTTCTCAATCGCCCCCCTCAGCCTTTAATCTGAGGTCAAGTGTACCTAGGCGCAACAAGCAAAATGATTGTCAGTATGGATCAAATGCCGTGAGGTGTGCTAAGTCTCACAATAAACATTTTAAGCCCATTTTGGTTCCCGTCAAAAATAGAGAATGGGGAAGCGACATCTTTATCGGCACAAACAAAATAGTCTATTAAACTGGTAATAAACGATATCGATTTTGGACCACCATTCTCCATCTGTGGATGATGCTTCAAGGTCCACTTTTCCTTTTCCGCAGCCCAGTCTTGTGCATAGGAAACAAAGCCCATGCAGCAGTGAATCATAAAAGATTGTGAAAGTCACACAGCCACTATGAGGCTTTCATTCACTCCTAAGAAACAAGGTTAGCATGCATAACAATGAGCATGACATGGATTGATTCGTTAGGTTCACCTACATTGGTGGATTGGTCTCGGTCTGCCATGGTGGTGGACGATAAAGGCCGAGTTCGTCTTTGCTCCCAATTAAAATCACTTAGGAGGACTATAGGCGGGAGTTGGGGTAGGTTTTCGCTTGGTGTTGAGAAGTTGCTTGAAGTTTGCGATATTGGGGATTGTGATTGAAGACTATATAGCTTAGATCTTGCAAGTAATATGCACTTGCCGTGGCATACCTCGGGGGGGTATTCACTGTCTGTGAAAGAATGGACCCAATTATTGAGGTTTCAATGTCATTGCGAGAGATGTTTCGGCGACGCAGTGCCAAGTAGGCGAGCCAGGCACTTAAAGATGCAACAAAGAGAGCAGGAATCGCACTAACGAGAGTGATGATAGCATCGGTGTTTAGTTGACTCATGCTGAATTGATAGGCATCTTGTGCAGAACGAAGGAGAAAGGCCCTTACGAGTTGAAACTGAGGAGCTCATGTAATATATACGCAACCTCATGTTGAAGACTTATACCTCTTGTGGTAGGTGAGATCGACGACTGAGATGGCTTAGATGTCTGTGGGCAGCTAGTTTTGGAGTGTACATAGTAGAACGCCAATGCCCAATTCATTAAGCGTGATGTCTTCGGCTGAGGTCTCTGCCAATTAGAAACAAGATCTAGGCGCGAAATAGGTCTTTGGCATGACTGTATGGAAGCGGTGCGAGACCCTGGGTGTGCTTGTTTGGGCCTGCAGGGTCAGCCAGTCAGATTGCAAGCCAGAAAAGAAAAGAAAAAAAGGGACGGTGAGCGGAAGCCTGTGATGGTGGCGTGAGAGAAAATCAGGACGCCCGGGGGATCCGGGGGAGGGGACACGGCTGGTAAAGAATATAGGTTTTGTTACTTTTTGTTTTTTATTTGCCGGTTTAGGTATGTACGCAATAATAAGACAGTTTCGGCTGGATGAGAGCTTAGGTGATGATGATGGTGTATCAGAACAAGATGACTGGAAAGAAAAAAACAAAAGACTGTTATTTGATAGATTACCTATGAAGCAGATATATGATCCGATTAGACATCAATTACCCCTAGTATTCGACGTATCTCCTAAACCGCTTTGCGACCGCTTTATGGTGCCAAGGACGACTTACACTAGGTTGCCCAAACTTTATGGTCGCTAAGCACCAACAGACGCTAGCGCGAGCTCATCAACGCGTCTGGCCAACGTCAAGAAGATTTTAGCGCGTGATATCGCGCCGCCAACTTCTGACCCCACTGCCCTATCCCGTCAAACACCTGTTAGAGATCTCATTTCATCTCACCCTCATAACTTTTCACGATTCTCATCCATATCCTTGCTTAACTACTTGTCCCAAAGTCAACACTATATCCATTTCTCATATCCCAACTCGAACCCTCCAGAAAAGCATCAACTCAATTATACAAAATGGCCCACAAGCGCAAGCGATCTATCTCCGAGCTCTGCGCCTCGCCCTCTTCAGTCTCATCCTTCGACTCCCCTCCACGCGTCAGCAACTCCATCACCAACCCTTTTGCCATAATGACTTCGACGCCCCTTCATCTCCACAGCCGAACGATGAAAAGAACACGCGACAACCGACCTTCAGAAGAGATGATTCATCGTAAGCTTCACCAGATTCGTGTCTGGGTTTGCACGTGCTAATCAAGCTTCCAGAACGTACACTCAAGATGCTGTACTCGGCACAGAGCCAGACCCAACAGCCCGAAGCTCCATCTGAACCTATGCAAACTGAGACGCAAACTACACGGCCCGAATCAGCACAACAATCTCTCCATCGGTTCTGGAACATTTCTTCAACCCCAACAGCGTCAGCTTCTACTCTCAACCAACCCGAACTCGCTCCTTCGAACTGCGAGGACTGTGGTGTAAGCTTCAACAACGGCGACGACGGAATGGAACTTGACAACTTTAATAACGAGGATCACTCATGTGTTGCTTGTAACAAGCACGTCTGTTTCAGCTGCTCTGTCAGCAATCTCGGCGAGCAGCGACGATGTTTGCAGTGCGCAGGCCGAGAGGAGGCAACGAGTCACAACTCAACGAACGGACATACAGCAATGGTTTTTTGAACAGATTTTGGATACAAAATTGGGTAATTGGGAACATTTAGCGACAACACGGGGGGTTATAACAATGGCGTTCATACCAGGCGGCACACAGGGGGATACCATGGCATCAATTGCTGGGATGGCATTACCATTAGGTATTGCACAATAAATTCACATAGGTAGTTTATAAATATTACATAGTTTCACGAAACGCTTCTCATACTGAGCGATATGCAGCTCAGTCCAAACAATGGACGGGCGAATTAGCAATGAACTATGAATTAACATTTAGGCTTTTTGAAGCAAATATCTATAAAATCAACGCAATCTCGCACAAGAACCAAGAATTCCATCTAACCACGTCGGCGAGTGGTAGGGCTCTTCTTGGGAGTAGCTGTGGTAGAGGCAGAAGGGGAAAGAGTGCTGGTAGCAGCAGGCTTGCCCTCGATGGGAGAGACCTTGCGCTTGCCCTTGGCCTTCTCGGTGGGAGCGTTCCAGTAGAAAATCATCTGGAGAGCAAGGATGGCGTTGAGAGCGAAGCCGGAAACGAAACCGTAGAGGATGAGCTTGTCGTCGACTTCCTGGAGGGTTGTGAAGATTCGGGAAAGAGAACCGGCGAGGTAGTTGAAGACCTGGAAATTGTTAGTGGTCGTTTGTGAATTGGAGAAGTAAAATTGACTTACAGCGAAGGCGCTGAGCTGACCGGTGGTACCCTGCTGGAAAATGGTGAGGATTTGGGGAATCTTGCTAGCGACGCTCAGAACACCAGCACCAGCCTGAAGGTGGCCCAAAGTCTGCGCATCAACAATGTTCTCAGCGAACAAAGTAGCAGCGGCAGCAGCGAGACCTGCGACAAAGACGGCAGCCAGACTAGCGCGGCCACTGTAGTTGAGGACAAGAACCGAGATGATAACATTTTGTCCGACAATCAAGGCAGTCTCGCCAAAGGTGCTGAAAGGGAAGCCATTTCGGATGTTGTAGGCGAGAGAGATGAGGTAGGAAGCCGTCTCGAGAGCGTAAGAGAGGAAGGACACGCCCTCGGCGGACTTGGATCCAAGGAGCTTCTTGATTTGGGGAACCTTGACGACAGCGGAGGCGGCGATGATTCCGATACCGAGAGCCTTGGAAACACCGAGCTTGATGCAGTCGACATCCTCAATGTTGACGTCGAGAAGAAGAGACTTGTAGCAGGTTTCGCCGATGAGAGAAACACCCAAGTCGCGAATGGGCGCGGGGAGGTTGTGGGTGATGGAGGTGATGGCCGGCTTGACGGCATCGACGGCGGGTTTAAGGGCGTCCATAATGAGAGGTGGTTGTCTTTCAGATAGATATTAAGAAGGGTTCTGGAGTAGTCAAAAGTCAACAGCCGTGACGAAAAGTGTCGTGAAGGAGTGTGGAAGAAGCTGACAAAAAGACGTCACAGTGCTCGTGATTGGGGATGAAAACCTTCAAAAAAAAGGGAAAAGGCCAGCATGCAGCAATCAATTTGGAGATGAAAGCCTTACTATTTTGGGTTTAGCTCCATCGCTTAAAAGTGGCTTACCCTGGAGAACAATCAATCTACGGCTTTTTCTGCCCCAGCTTTTCGGAACCATTTTGGTCTGGCCCTGTTTCAATGAAAAGATTCCCTGTCATTATTGACTTTTAAAAACAATGACATCAGAGTACAGAATGTTTCACACGATAAACGAGGTTGCAGAAAAGTCCGAATATCTGATTCATCACAATCATGAGATAATCGCGCTGTGAGAAAAGAGATAATATTCGAGGATATTCAGTTGCCTTCTTTCTCTACATGCAAGCATCATCTTTTAGGAAATGAAATCTTACAGATCTCTCAGCTTGGAAGGTGGACCGTTTGAGAGGCTGAGCTTGTCCAAGAGGGAACCAACCAGGCCTTTTCCCTTTTTTCTAGAAAATAGCTATTTTCGTGCTCTTGTCCCGCTGGGCTTAGTATGACACAGCCAGGCGGTACGAGATTGAAAATAATCTCTTAGCGAAAAATAATCCACCGTACAATAAACTGTTTGTCTGTTCTCGTGGACGGGAGGGGAAAGATGGGAGGGATCACCCGCGGAGACGACGCACGTGTCAGACCACAAGCGGCCGGTAGTAAAAGTGAGGCATAAGGCCAAGAGAAGCATGCTAAAATATGCGCTGTGATGTTAAGATGCGTTGTGTACATGTATTCTTCGGAGAAAATGGTGCTTGTATTGTTGATTCCGAGCCTTTGGGGGGAATAGTTTTGAACACTACATAAACGGATACAAGCAGTGTAACAAAGGTATTAATAAATGTCTATTCTAATAGACACAGGACCTATTACTACAGATGATAATCAAGGTCAGCTGCTGTGTTGTTCTATCCCGAGGTTAGGTAGCGTAATAAAGTACTTGACGGTTGGCAACCTTTTGTCAGCCACAATCTCAATCTTGTCTTTTACCAGGCACATCCATGTCTTTCTTTTTTGACATGGGAACCAACATTTGTTATTCTTTCTTGTCTTTCTTTCTCTCTTTGTGTGCCTTGTATTGATTCCCTCCTTGTTCTTTTTTTCTGTCCCCCGGCTCGTGCTTTCATCTTCTGCCCACTTCCATTTTCTCTTTGCCAAGCATATCCCTGCCTTATTCTGCCTGTCTGCGCTGTCTGCCTACCTCTACCTTGTCGCTTGCAGCATTTTAGTTTAGGTTGTCATTGTCCCATCAGCTGGGCTGGGCTCCATTTTCATAATAAGGTATCGGATCCCAACCTGCGCCCAAAGTTCTTCTTTTTCTTCTGGGTGATCTGCTTGTTATCGTCGTGTTTCACTTATTTGCTTTTTTTTCTTTCTCTCGCCGTTTAACCGAATGCGACATCGTGCTCGTCCATGGCACTGTACCTGTACCGTACCAGCTGCGCCGTTGCATCAGTTATCTATCTTTCCGATCATCGACATCGATATCGATAATCGACCAGCTGACCTGACCGCTGATTGTCTCATCGTCCACGTTTCCCCACGATTTGCCCTGGATGTGAGAGCGCTACTGCCGTGATCTCTTGCCAACCATCTTTCTCCCACTTCATCCACCATCGCCAGTTCTTCAACTTTCTACAACCATGGCGGCCCCTCCAAAGACAGAAGCCCCGCCTGCGCCTGGCGCAACCTCTTCAACCCCGCCTCCTCCTCCCATCGAGTACACATATATGTACGAAAAGGACAAGAGCCCGTCCAAGTCATTAGATGCTTTATTGAGATCTATAAGTCGTCATATTGTATGCGCTCCCGTATTTCTGCTCAAAACTCTATAAGAGGATCGCTATGTTAAGAATCGCATACTAACCACCTTACGTCATAACAGATATTCGAGATTGGAGATAAAAATGTCTGTCAACTTACACCAGAGAAAATGGCGGCATTTTACAAGGCCGTTGGGGGCGATTACGACTGTAAGTTGGTTTTGGATTACCTACCGAGATATCTGTGCTGACAAGTTCCAGCTCTCTTCGAGATGCCCCACGAGTCCATCTCCTACATATGGCAAGTGACTGGATGCCAACATACTTTACAACCTACACACGATGATTTTGAACCACCTTCAATACCTGCGCTCACCCCTAGAGGTTTCTCACGATGGGAATCTCTCGAGATTTTGCTTGGACCCGAAGAACATGTTCCCTTCTTGCAGTTCGCCGTCAAGAACTGGCAATTAAAACACCCAGAAACTGGTCAAGAGTTTCCTCCAGACTTGCCCGCCACCGTATTCCCAACACAACCAGACGTCGAGGTGGACCGTTGGCACAAGTCGTGCGCCGACAAACTAAGAAAGGAGGCGAATGCACGAGAGAGGGAGGCATTCCGGGAAGCTGCACGAGAACCAACTGGCCCTGGTGAACCTGGTGATGGGTCGGAACCCAAGTTTGCGTACTCTCATGTACGAGGTAGTGCATTTGCTGGGAATCGGGCCAGACCGGCGCCAGAACGACCGTTGTACAACCACGTTCCGGGTAGACATGGAGGCGGGCGACCAGGCAGACCTTCACCTGAGAGATATGACAGCTACAACGGGCAACCTGCACCAGATGTTCCACCACACCCAACACACCCGCCTCGAGGACCGCCGGATACATATCTCGACCCTAATGCGAAGCGACCCCCGCCGACAAGACGCCACAGTCAACCCAGACATTACTCTTCAGAATCAAGCGACGACGACCTTGTTCCTCCCCGTGCGAGGAGACGATCTGAAGTCAGCCCACCTTCACCAACATCACGTCGATACTCCCCTCCGAACGATCGTCCGCCTCCCGTTGCTAGTAACCCACCGCCATCCTTCCGTCCTCATCGCGCTGAGATGAGAACTGACGAATCTACTCGGCGACGATCAACACATAGTCCTAGTCTTCGAGAGAAGCTCTCAGAAAAGGTGTCAAACATTCTACCCAACGGGCTAAGCAATAATGCTTCAGATCGTAACAGAAACGCACAGCGTAACCCATCCTACAACACCGATTCCTCACGCGGACGTCGAAGCCGCGACCGTCTTCCTCCATCTCGTCTTAGCCGAAGCTACTCAGATATTTCAGTAGAGTCATCTGAAGGGGAATCCAGCGACGAAGATCCCCGTCACAGCAGAAGAGTGCGTGACGATCGCGATAGAGAAAGAGACCGCGAACGAGAACGAGATCGCATTCGTGACAGGGGTCGACAACGGGACCTCGACCGAGAAAGAGAAGAAGAACGGCGTGAACGGTACCTGCGCCGACCAGAGATGGAGCGACGCACCAGCAGCCACGCAGATGCCGAGCGTAGACGCGATTACCCGGGATGGGATGCACGATCTGAGAGAAAGAGATGGGATAAACGCGTCCCACCTGAGGAGCGGGGGACAAGTCCTCTTGCGACACCAGGAAGACGGTACGCTGAGCCGGCTTACCCTTAAGCTGGGATGTTAACTTGTGCTTCTAGACCAGTACCTGCATCAGGTGTTGCCGAGCGTATGGCAGCTGGGAAGTGATATAACTGAGCATTTTCAACAAGGATTCTTGATTGGGTTTATTGAGTGTAGCTAGGTATGAGCATGCAGTATGGCGTCTGGATAGACGGAGGACAATAATGTTATTATGAATACATATTATGGAATTTGATGTGAAGAGTAATTGCTTTGTAGTGTGGTGTTGGCATAGATATGTCATAAACATCACATAGTAAAAGATAAGAGACAGTATATCCGCTGAGAATAGTGTATTAAAAGACCTGCGGACCTGGTGTCTAGAAAGCTACGAGTCTGCTGTGGTCCTCAAAGCTGCTGTACACAACAAAACAGCTCCAACTCCACGATTACGCCATAACCCCATATTTACAAAATGCCGCGCAAATCACGCTAGTCAAGACGGGCTAACCAAAAATGGCTACCACAAGGGACCCACGCCAAAAGAGAGATCAAGGTGAGAAAGCACTAGCCAAACTCTCCCAATTCACGATTAGTTTTACGACCAGAATCAAATCCAAATATTCTAATAATACGTACCCATATCTTCTGATTGTGCAAATGCATTTAAGTGTAAGTTTCAGATGTCTAAAGTGTCCGAGTTGGTGTAATGGCAGCATATCCGGGTCTCACGGGTGGAGGAAGCTTACGCTGAACTCACTTGCTCTTCGGAGGGGGAAGGCCTGGGTTCACTTCCTAGACTTGGATTATCCTTTTCTATTATATCTGACTGTCCGGTACTGTTTTATATCTAACGCTCATATTCCAGATCATCCAAGTCAGGTGATCGGTGCATTTTCGCATTATGTAACTAGCTAGACTCAGTTATGATACCTCCCCTGGTTCTAGGCCCATCTTCTCAACAACTACAAAAAGCTCCCACCCCTCCCACTAACTAGCGAGCCAACGAGAGATTCCGGATTGCCATCAGGGGTCCTGTGGTCTGTCGTCAACAAAAAAAGGGATGTTCTGGAGCTAGAAGGGTTACAGTTTCTTGGTTTGCTTTCGGTTACCGGGCCGAGAGCTGAAAGAGACTCATGAACTGGCTTGGCTGTTGGTGAGAGAAATAAAGAGGTCGATTCTTACTTGGTCTTTATGGTGTGTTATAGTGGTTCTATATTCAACGACCACGTTTCTATTACAAGATAGATAGATGGATCTTCTCAACTATTATTCCCCTCCTCCTTCAGTCCCAAAGATCACCGTTCCCATGCAGTGGGACCCTGTTTAGCCGCGGTTTACAACGGATGGCAATGGCAATAACATACATACATACAGCACACAACCCCCCGAGAAGCCGAGATCACTGCGTACAAGGATTCATTGCAAGATGTGAAACTCAGTTGTAAGCTACATATTCGCGGCTCTTTTGGGACCGGAGACTGGCCGAGAATCGATCGACTGGTTTGTATGTGGGGGACCTACCCTTGTGAGGTGAGGCGTAGCTAGCTGTAAAGCTCTCCTCTCACCAACAAAAGAACTGGCTCATAGTTAATGTAAAGCTTATATATTACGGTATTGGAGCTGGTGTCCGAATATCTAGTCTTGGTTTAGTGTCTTTGAAGCTGCAGCTCACTCAACTCATAACACATCTCTCCTCCTCCTCGAGCCAATTTCACGCATACCTTTTCTTTCATCTCACTTTCTCTCTCTTTTCCTCTTACTTTATCCTTTTTCACAATGAAGCCCTGTGCATCACTCCGCTTGAGAGCCCTTAGACAGGTCACACCCAGTACCCGTCTGTCTCTCCCCGCTTCGGCGAGATGGCAGCATTCCCGGGCCATGTCGACTGTTGTCGATTACCATCCTCGGACATCGCAGCCACCTCCTCCTCCCGCTGGAGCAAACGAAGCTATTGAGAAGCAGAGGGCTGAGAAGAGGAAGCAGATTCTGAGAGAGGCTGTTACGTCGACTCAGGTTCGACATGATTGGACCAAGGACGAGATTGCTGCCATTTATTATCAGCCTGCCCTTGAGTTGGCATACCAAGCTGTAAGTGTCTCTTTTCTGGTCGAGTTCTGTTATTATGGTACTGTCTCTCGAAGACTGCGAGTTTGATTCGACTTGATTACAGAACCAATATCATAGATCGCCATGACTAACACATCACTCACTTAGAGCACCGTCCATCGTAGATGGCACAACCCCGCCGAAGTACAACTCTGCACCCTGATGAACATCAAAACAGGCGGTTGCACCGAAGACTGCTCCTACTGCGCCCAATCCACCCGATACCAAGAAGGCACAAAAGTCCCCGCCAAACGAGTCGAAAGCGTGGAGAGCGTCCTCGAAGCCGCGCGAGTCGCCAAGGAAAAGGGAAGCACTCGCTTCTGCATGGGCGCTGCGTGGAGGGACATGCGCGGACGCAAAAACAGTCTCAAGAACATCAAGGCCATGGTCGAGGGTGTCAAGGGTATGGGCATGGAGGTCTGCGTAACGCTGGGTATGATCGACGCCGAGCAGGCCAAGGAGCTCAAGGCTGCAGGACTCACAGCGTACAACCACAACGTCGACACTAGTCGCGAGTTTTACCCCAACGTTATCACGACGCGCAGCTATGACGAGCGATTGCAGACGTTGAGCCACGTTCGCGATGCTGGAATTAACGTCTGCTCTGGTGGAATTCTGGGTCTCGGTGAGAGCAGCGAGGACCGTGTTGGTTTGTTGCATACCGTCTCGACGCTTCCAAGCCACCCGGAGAGCTTCCCCGTGAATGCCCTGGTTCCTATCAAGGGTACACCACTTGGTGACAGACCCGTGGTGGAGTTTACGAGCATGCTACGCACCATCGCGACGGCGCGCATCATCATGCCCTCTACCATCATCCGCATCGCAGCGGGTCGCAAGACCATGTCAGAGGAGAAGCAAGCGCTGTGCTTCATGGCAGGTGCCAACGCCATCTTTACGGGTGAAAAGATGCTCACGACCGAGTGTAATGGCTGGGATGAGGATGCAGCCATGTTTGGTCGATGGGGTTTGGAGCCTATGAAGGCCTTTGAAAAGTCGCCTCAGCCTGCACCCGAGACGAGGGTTCTGTAGATATGATTTCATAGATAAATTATAAATCGAAATCGTAATCGTAATCCTGGTATATGTCCATGCCGATCGTGTTGGAACTTGTTCTCCGGCCGCGGTCCCGGAGACCGGCAACGTTCCGGGTAGATGATCATGAGCGTGTATGTAATAGAGCAAGGGTTTTGATGTCCGAAGCAACATCACGTTGGTAGAAGCGCATGGGATAATAAGGATAGAGGATGTGGTGGAGCTAAAGTAGAGAGTCAGTTCGCTTGGCACAGCGCGTGACTCGCAGAAATATTCTTTTTGCTGGGTCAATCTCGTGACGATCTAACACGGGAGGACATGATGAATCTGACATTGGGTTTTGAGTTTAGATGTATTCGCATGATTATCGTATTTATCTAGTAGTGGTTAATACAGTTATCTCATTATTTAACCTTTCGGGCTGTAATATGATCTTACTCTAATGTCTATTGATAAAGAACTTGTTATTTCTGTACAGTCCAAGCGTTGACAAACTGGTTACACATTTACAGACACAGACACAAACACAAACACAAGCACTGCACAGACTTGACAATCAACTGTCTTAGTGTATCACTACATATGAACAGTTAAGATCAACCTCTATTCTACTATCTGGCCAGTATTAAATACTTACTTAGTATTAGTATTCAGCGCCTGACCGCTTACTCTTATTAACTCTTCCTCTACACCCTCAACTTAGACCCCAGACGCATTAGGTCCCGGCCTCAGAATCAACAAGAGCCTATCAAATACTTCCGCTACAAGCTGTAGCCTCCCGAAGAGGACCAGTCCCAGGTCCCCGACTTGTCCTTGTCCTGCCGCCGCCGCCATGGGTCCGGCCCAAAGTCCAAGCCCAAACCCATATGCACGCCCCTCCTTCACACACTTTCCCTGACCTTCTTGTCTTGTCCTTGTCTTGTTCCCGATGGATTCTTGTCCAATGCATTTTCATTTCGTTTCAATGCGTGCATACCATACATTAGTTTAGTCCAAACATATAACTTTGCCTGTCCCTCTCGCCCTTGTCCCACGAAATAACTCTTTTCTCTCTCTCTCCCCTCTTTTGCCAAAACCTTACGCTTAAAATTATTCGTCTATTGACAAACGGTAGAAAAGGCTAAACATTCATCAGTCAGGTACGCATCGTAAAGATCGTCCTACAAAAAAAAAAAAAAGAACCAAAACTCGGCTTCGCCGTCCCTGCCTAAAAATCGTATCGTACTTTCACCCCCGCCGAAAACGCCCGAACAAACAAATTCCTAAAAGGACAACCAATCTCGATTTTCACAAGTCACCACTTCCCTTTAGTCTGCCAGGTCATCATCTACTGCCACGCATTCTCACTTTGGCGACGTCGTCTACGCGAAACAACTCACACTCTGACCATCACCGATTACGACGCCAAGAAAATTACTTTTGCTATCCCGACGACATAAACAGAGACTTATTCTTCTTTCTCACGACTACAAACTCTTTTCATCTACACGTCCGACATCGGCATCGCTTTTACTCTCACCATGAAAGGCCAACCTGTCGACCAGCTCGTCTACGAGTGCATGTTTCCTCGACCCAAGAGCAACGATCCACAAAACTTCCACATGCTCCTCCAACGTAACCTAATTCCAGAGGTTCGTCAGGAAACACACGCATTTTACGGTCATCTCGATACCCAGGAAGCGAAATACCCTGGCCTCGATTACACCCACAAAACTCATCGTATTCGTCTTTCTCGCTGGCCATGGCACCGACGCCTTTTCCGCGCTTTCGACAATCTTCAGATTACAGCCTCCGAAATCGCGAGTTTGACCAAGTGGGAGGGAACAAAATGGGCTAAGGAAAAGTATGAGAAGGAGCAGGGATACATTATTCATGACACCACCGCCGATGGATTCCCCGACTGGACCGATATTCAACATTTACCTCGCGCTTCTCGCAGTCATTCCGCAGAAGTTGGTTATATGGGACTTGACGACCTGGATAACGACATGGAAGTTGAAAGTGAAGATGAGCTGGACAGTGTAGGCGTTGAACTGAACGAGCGTCTCAGAGATGGAGTTGCAAGACGCGAGGCTGGTGATACTTCAGCTGTCCTCGACGAAGAATGGGAACAGTGGCTCAAGAACGCCATCGAATCAGGCGAGATCAACTTTCTGAACGACCACGTCTTCCATGAAAGTGACACAGTACCTGCTGCGCTCTTCCCACCAGGTTTGCTCAGCACAGCACGAGCCGGCCAATGGGACGACATTCCCGAGTCTCTTCACCGCATACTCCGCCGCACTCTACAATCTGAAGACCCTAACCGCCCCCAACAAATACAGCCGTCGACACGGTCTCAAACTTCGGCACCTTTGCTGCAGAATCGATACTCTATGGATTCTCGATTGCTGCGCAGCCATTCTTCGTTGATCAACAGCAATTCTCGATTGATCCGCAGCTCATATCTCCGCCTACCGGTCGGCGATTCTAGTTCAGGGCGCACAGGAACCTCGGATGCTTGAAACATTGAGATCGACTGGAACGACAAATAAAAGTATTTTTTTTTTCGGCAAGAAATTATACCCTTTTTACTTCGCCTTTTGCCTTCCACAGTGAAGGTTTTTCTTGGCTGGCAGAGCACGCCTCATCCTACAATGACGGAGCACGGAACCCGCAGCCTCACTTGTACGCATGATTACTGTTTCACCCATGTCTCTCAAAAATACTGGGGACTAGGCTACGGCCAGTGACGAATAACTACGCGAAACATAAAACACGACCTTGTTTTTTCTTTTGTTTGAACATCCACAGGGTGGACGGTGTTAAAGGCGACATGAGGAGGTTTGATGACACAAGTAACGGTGGGGAAATATCTGGTTGAATTTACAAGACACGAATTCTTGGTGGGAGCATCGTTGATAGACTGGGCTATAGATCAGAGCTTTTTGTTTTGGTCTGACTCATCCTTATCAGTATTGGATAAAACGAGTAGGGATAGAGTGGCCTGTTTGCTGCAT